CAGAGACTGGCGAAACGTTAGGAAAAACCACCTTCAGAACACGGCCAAGAAGCCCAAAAAAACCACAACAACCATTTTCTGCACATATATGGTTAAACAAAAGAGAGCTGCCAGATCCTGCATACACACTCCCTCCCGTCCCTTATCATTAGTATGAATTTCCCTTACCTGTCATCTGCTAGCCTTAAGCTTTATATTGACACTGATGTTAGTGCAGTTAGGACTAGCCTCTCAGCCAGCCTCTACAGCACTTGTCTGAAGCACAAACCCTTCCTCATATCCATGCATTCTGTGTTGTTGTTATGTGCTGTCAAATCACATCCAACTCCTGGTGGCCTTCCTAAGGTTTTCAAGATACATGAGATATTTAAGAAGTGGCTTTACAAGTGCCACTACCCACTGAGTTTTCATGGCGAAGTGAAGATTTGAACTCAGGGCCCCTGAGTCCTATTCTGTCACTCTATCCATTACACTGCACTGGCTCTCACTTATACGCAAGGAGAGACATTTTTGTCCTCCAGAGTTATGTTTGGTTGCATAATTCACAAGGAAGTAGACCTATAAAGTACCCATTCTATAACATTGTCACCTGAAGAGTTGTAAACAATGCAGAGTGGATAATAATAAATGATTTAACAATGTTAATAATATTTGTAAATAAAGGCTTTTTTATTGTTAAACTGCTTCTTCTCTTTAAAAAAAGTCCTATGTGATATTAGTTCTAATTAAGGTAAAGGTCAAATGTCTCATTATGGAACAGGGGTTATGGATTCTTTATATTATTGGAAATGTACTCATATTGTTTTTTAAAAAAATATTTGTTTTTTGTGAATAGAATCCATCAATTGTTTGATTAAGGACTCCGTTTTTGAGGCTTCTGTATAGATTAATTAGATTAACCCTTCTAACTCCCCTCAAAAATATCTAAAAAATTGTAGTTCTTGACAAACCCATGCTTGTTAACAGCAATACACAAAAATGAGAAACAAACTGAATCAGCCTTATTTTCCAGCTCTGACTTAAGTTATTCATAAATCTCTAGGACTGCTTACAACAGATTCCTTCAGAGTGGCAAACCTAGTTATTGTCCCTGAGCAACTATGTACCCACAAAGTGAAATACTTTCCTTGAAAGTGCACATTTTGGCAGGAAACAAAATAATGTTGGATTTAATAGTAAGATTCCCCCCTCAAACAAACACACACACACCACCTGCGATAATCTTAATATATACATTTTCACAATATATATCTTCACGATCTCCTTTTTCACTTTCAGACTTTGGAAGAATCAAGGAAGAGTGAATTGTTGAAAGTAGAGTCAATCAGGACACGGGTTTTGTGAAAAACAGATATTATAGAAAATATGTATTATGGTTAGAATAAACAAAAGAGCACTGCAAGGGGGGGAGTCACATGATTCAACTGACACTTTCAGTAGTAGTTTAAATTTTAATTTCAATCAATCTGATTGAAATCAGATCCAACCCAAAACAGTGTCTCTATCTTTGGCCATTTGCCATATACAGTTTGTTTTTTGTCTGTTTGTTTTTTAAACATGAAAATGTTTAGGGGGAAAATTGCCCAAACATCTATGCCTTTGCCACAAGGTTACTTTTTGTTTCTAGCCTTGTGCTTCTGGACCAGGGGTGGGGGAAATTCCATGCTGCTTTTCAGCAAGGTAGATGTTATAACACTGGTTTCAGGAAACTTGAAACGTGACTATATTTAATCACTGGAAGTACAATAATGCTGAGAAATTATGAAGGCAGCACAAAAGGAGGAAGGCTGAGTATGAGATGGATTGATTAAATAAAGCCTTGAGTTTGCAAGACCTAAGCATATCTGTTAATGACCGGACCTTCTAAGGATCACTATTAAGAGGAATACAATAAATGGGAAATGACTTGATAGAATATGTCAACAATAACAAGCTTGCTGCTAATTTTCAGTACATTGTAATTTGAATGGAGCCAAAAAAATTGTGTACATCCTATTCACAGCAAGTTTTCTCATAAATACATAAAATTCTTGCTTCTTGACTATTAAGGAAAAAATATGTGAACTACCACTGACACTGGTACGGATGCAAAACTTGGCTATTACTAAGGCCACCAGACAAAATCTGCGCTTGATTCTTTAATTATGTTGAGCTTAGTCACAGTTGCTTAGCCATAATTAAAGTGCTGAGGTTCCACCAGCTGCCTGGAGACCAAATGAACAAACTAGGATTTTTCATCCTCCACTGCTTTTTTGCTATTAAAAAACTGCCTTTGTCATTTTTAGAAGTCTGATTATTTTATTGATATACTAAAAACTATAACAGGAAAACAATAATACACATTTCAGGGGAATAATTTAAAAATAAAATTTTGTTGAATAATGCAATATTCATGAATTGTATTTTGGCAGGATTGTGAACATGATACACAATAATTTAACTGAATCCTTAAAATATATTCTATATTCTTGAATTCTGAACAACCCTTTAATTTTTGTTTTGTCATTGTTGTAGTGCTGTGTTTTCAAATGAACATTTTTCAACACAAACACCAGAAATGTCTGTTTTTCTGACAAACTAAATTTTTCAGGAAAGAACTCAAACTCAGGGAATTGTTCGCTCTGCACAAGGCCAAATACTATCTATCCATGAACTACGAAGGCAACTTTAATGTCACGACATACATAGCCAATTGGTGTCATCTGTCTGTTCTGATGGACTTGTAGCTATGGTTGGATGGCTCACAGATTGACTGAGAAATGCTAATACCCATCAGTTTCTAATGCTTGTTACTCTGGTCCAGGGGTCAAGATGAGATGCACAGTATAGGCAATGACACTGAATAAATATAAAACTGTTTAGTAAATAAAACAGTGTAGAGTTAGTAATTGATCATCACACACACACACATAGAGACATTCATGACTCTGACAAAGGAAGCAAAATGCACCATGCATCCAAAGCTGTGAAGCCCAGTGCTGATTATGTATAAGCATGCATCGTGCAACACGCAGTGTGATACTCACCAGCTTCTCGATTCACACTGAGGCTTGCTGGTTTGGACGGAGAGGCAGAGGCCTGCTTAGCAGAAGCCTTGCCTCTTTTTTTAGCATGTGGCACGTCATTAGTCTTATGGCTAGTGGTAGCAGCTGTAGTGCTTTTTGGAGGTATGGTTGCTTTTTTAGCTTTAGGCTTAGGTTTAGTAGGTGGTGGAACATGGGGTGTTGAGGTTTCAGGACCTTTGGGAAGAGGTTTCTCTATGAATGAGAAAGTGAACAGAAAGCAACTGACCAATGGACAACAACAGGTAATTGGCTAAACAAACAGATACACTTCTTGGTGCTGCTCTACTGCTTGAGAATCAGGACCAGATTCATTTGACTTTTTTTTTTTAAAAAAAAGGAAGAACTACTACCAAATCATTCTGATAAGTCTCCCAGACTCATTGTCATCAAGTGCTCCAGAAGAGTTTTTCAAACCCAAACAAAGAATATTTATTTATTCATAGCATTTACATTTTACTGCCTGTTGGAGCAACAGTTTTAGCTGCCTGAGGAAGCTTAACAGAACTGAGACCTGCTTCACTTCTCTTGTGATGGAGTTACACAGTCAAGTGCTGCCACAGAGAAAGGCCTGGCTTGTGTATCCCCCAAACTAGCCTCTTAAGGAATTAAGGTGGGACAGGTGACAGGGTTTATACTGATACAGTGGTGCCTCACATAACGAGTGCCCCGTTTAACGATGAATCCGCATAGCGAAGGTTTTTTTGCGATCGCTTTTGCGATCGCATTGCGATGTTGCCTATGGGGAAAAATCGCTTTGCGATTTTTTCCCCATAGGCCCCATTTTCCCCCAGCTTTTCCCCCCCTTTTTCCATTCCGAGGCTTGCCGAAGGCAGGGGAAAAGGGCGGGAACTTCAAAAATGGTGCTTGACAAGCCTCTGCAAGCACCCATCGCTGCGTGGAGGGACCCCCGCCAGTGCTCCGATGGTGCAGGGGAAGCCTCCGATGGGCTCCAAAGCTGTTGTGCGCTGTTGCGGGGAACCCCCACCAGTGCTCCAATGGCTTCCCCTGCACCATCCCGGGCATGGTGCAGGTGAAGCCATTGGAGCACTGGCGGAGGTTCCCCGCAACAGCGCACAACAGCTTGGGAGCCCTTGGGAGGCTTCCCCTGCACCATCGGAGCACTGGCGGGGGTCCCTCCACGCAGCGATGGGTGCTTGCAGAGGCTTGTCAAGCACCATTTTTGAAGTTCCCGCCCTTTTCCCCTGCCTTCGCCAAGCCTCGGAACATAAAAAGGCTTTTTTCCCCCTTTTTCCATTCCGAGGCTTGCCGAAGGCAGGGGAAAAGGGCAGGAACTTCAAAAGTGGTGCTTGACAAGCCTCTGCAAGCACCTATCGCTGCATGGAGGGACCCCCGCCTGTGCTCCGATGGTGCAGGGGAAGCCTCCCAAGGGCTCCAAAGCTGTTGTGTGCTGTTGCGGGGGACCCCCGCCGGTGCTCCAATGG